CATCAGCTGTTGGCTGCTACCAAACTTCCAGCTGAAAACAATTGTAGCCATCGGAGTGGAGGTGAGCAAATCATTTGGCCCAACCACCATCATCGCGGCCTACTGCGCCAAACAAACCAACATCAGAGACGGGTCGTCAGTGGCCCTCCGGAAAGATATCATCAAACTCACCCGGAGGAGCGGGAAATTTATCATCGCTGGCGATCTGAACGCAAAACACCAAGCTTGGGGCAACGGGCGGAGCAATAGAAACGGCATCATCCTCAATGAAGACCTGCAAGAGGGCCACTATACCATTTTGGCCCCGGACTCTCCCACGCGGTTGAGTCGACGTCGACATCTTCGTAAGCAACATGGGACACAACATCTCGCAACCTGTGGCATTCCAGGAGCTGAGCTCGGACCACTACCCGGTGGTGGCCGAAGTTGGATCCTCGGTTAACCGATTCGAAGCTGCCCGGCGCAACTACCATCGAGTCAACTGAGCGCAATATCAACACTGCGTCGACACAACAATCGACTACGATGTCCAACCGGGGACGTCCGAAGATGTTGACCGGTGTCTACAAACCATCGAGGAGGCGATTTCCCGGGCCAGGGAACAACACGTGCCAGTTTCCAGACAGGTGAGTAACACTCTGAACCTTGACAGCCCTACCAAAGATCTCATTAGACTCCGTAACACCATTCGTAGGCAATACCAGCGTTCTGGCCTGCCTAACTTGAAGACCAATTGTAATCGATTAACAAAGATCATTCAGGCCAGGATGGTGGATCTCAGATATAACGATTTTGCTAGTAAGATCCGCTCTCTCCCAGATTGTGCTAAGCCCTTCTGGAAACTTGCAAAAATTCTTAAAAACAAGCCTAGGCCCATTCCACCACTGACCCCACTGGATCGTCCCGGCGACCCAGTGGTTCATCTGATAACTCTTGAAGAGAAGGCTGCCGCGATAAGTCAACACTTCGTCAGCTCCCATAATCTCGGACAAAACATCGTCAGCCCTCATGAATCTGAGGTTGCTGAAAATGCAACCAATCTTCTTCAGATTCCTAACATTTTTCCAGAGGAATCCGAGATTACGGCTGACGAACTGTTGGCCTATATCAAATCATCTAAAAACATGAAGGCCCCAGGTTTCGACAACATCCTGAATCTGGAACTCAAACACTTGAGTTCCAGATTCTACAACCATCTGGCACTGATTTTTAATCAGTGCCTCAGACTTGGCTACTTCCCCTCGTGTTGGAAGTCAGCAAAAAGTCATACCCATCCGGAAACCTGGGAAGGATCCGTCCTCTCCTTCAAGTTATCGACCAATCAGCCTTCTCTCAGGGTTATCAAAACTGTTCGAAAGAGCAGTGTACCAGCCCAAGTAACACATAAAACATCTTTTGAAAAAGAATTAGAACGGATTGTTGTATAAATGTATTATAAGAGATGCAGAAAACATCCTACGTTATATATGAGGTTTAAAGATGTTTTCTTCATACTTCTTCGATTCAACATTTTCCAAAATAGTTTTCTTTTGCTTTTATCTTAAAATGTTATTTGAACGTGCATCTTACTGTTTTAATACCACTATAAAACTTGTCGTATACAAAATCAATCCAGATTGACGTAAACATTGACGGTGCCATTGAGCCGGACTGTCTCTTCACGCCGTGATTGACAGTTTCTTATGAGGTATTCGGAGGTTTGTTATAAAGAAAGTTGAAAATACTTTTTTATGACATCTCATAAATTAATACAACTGAAAATGTGCAGGTTGTCTTATAAGGAGTTGAAAATACGTTTTAATAACATTCTGGCTAATAGATGTACGCTTTGCTACTAACAAAACGTCTTCATGACGGATCGAAGGCGTGTTGAACGAGAAAATAATTTTCATGCCATTGGCAAGAACATGATAGATACTTATAACAAACCTTTCATCAAGCGGTGTTGGTCTAGTTAGGTAGAAACAAGTCTACCACGCCAAGGACCAGTAATCGAATCCCATGCTCAAGATTTTTTTATTGTTTTTTTTTGTCGCTGGTTTTTATGATGTTTCCAAAATACATGTTATAAGACCAGTATTTAGTTGTATAAGCTCCGCGTCTTGCGCTTTTTAGGTTGTATAAATGTATTAAATGATGTATATTAAAGTATTAGTGATTCTTTGCGTTAGTCATTACAAAGTATTTTCAACTTCTTTATGACAAGCCGTGTTGCTTGGGAGCGACTCCTAACATCTGCCGATGAAAACAACTTGTTACTCGAGGAGCAGTTTGGTTTTCGGAAAGGTCGTTCGACCGTCCACCAGCTGACTCGAGTAACAAACATTCTCAGACGGAACAAGTCTGTTTCAAAAACATCTGCCATGGCGTTGTTGGACGTTGAAAAAGCGTTCGACAATGTCTGGCATGATGGCCTGGTGTTCAAATTGCAGCAGTATCGTCTTCCAATCTTCCTAGTGAATATAATAAACAACTATCTACCAAACAGGACGTTCCGAGTCTCTCTGAATGGCATCACATCGGATGCTTTCAACATCGGTGCCGGGAGTCCACAAGGAAGCATCCTTGGCCCCATCCTAATCAACCTGTTCACCTCCGATATGCCGGCTCTCCCTGATGGTGGATCGTTGTCTCTGTTCGCAGATGACACATCCATCATCTACAAGGGTAAGGTCAGCGGAGCTCTGACTGCCAAACTTCAGAGCGGGCTGGACGTCCTGTCTGAATATTTCAACAGCTGGAAGATCCGTATCAACGCGGCAAAGTCCCAGGTCATTATCTTTCCACACTCTAAATCTCCTAGACTTGTTCCGTCGGAGAATAACAAGATCTTCCTGAACGGCACAGTGGGGGAATGGTCCAAAGAGGTCATGTACCTCGGGCTAACACTAGACAGCAGGCTTCTTTTCAGGGAGCACGTTGACAAAACGAAAACCAAGTGCTACATCTTGATAAGATCGTTGCACAGTGGTTTAAAAGTGTAAATTCGTGAACTTAATTGTTTTCTGAGATGTACGTACGTTTTTAGCATTAACGTGTCTTGAGAAGATTTTCATAGTTCTGGATTCCGCACCTTTTGGAATGTTCACCTTAATTTTTCTTAAGGTGCAACTGCACTTCAAAAAACTAACTTTTTTATATTAACAGATATCGAGATAATGTCTTCTACAAAGTTGTAGGGCTTTTAATTTCAAGAAACTTTGCTCAAGACACCAAGTTGCCATGACTTCATTGTATGAAGATATAAGAGATTATTTGCCAGTTGCACCTTAAAATCAGTTGTTTGAGTTTTTCTATGTCTTATTCACGTTGTATCTCTTTGGTGTATTCTGCAAAGTTTTAGATAATATTTAAATACACAACTCTTCTCAAGACACCAAAGTGCTAGGATTTGATTGGCGAAAGATACAGTGATTTTTAAGCAAAAAATCACCCTTTTTCAAAAAGCTATAACTAAGCTGGCCGCAAATTGCCGCACTTGCAACAAGTTTAATTTGAAAGCTCAGAATTTGTACTTGAAATGTTGTGGAGATCATTAGTATCCGTTAGTATCCTGGAAACTGTGGTGGATTTTAGTAAACAAAGATTTAAGATTTTTGTATGGGGCTATTCAAGTAAAAACGATATTTTGCTATCTAACAATGGTCTCGATTTTTTTTTGTTCAATTTCTAGTTTGTTTTTTATTATTCTAAAGTAACTTAAAAGTAAAATAACATGTTAAACTAATCCAAACATAAAACCAAGTTTCACGCAGCTAGCTGAGAAAACAGCACTTTTGCAGCACAGCATCGATAACAACCACCGTTTTGATCTAGGGAAAGTGAAAATTATAGATAGACACGAAAAAGAATACGCATTACCACTATTAGAAATGTGTCACATTCACAATAGTCAAAACAGTATAAACAAACGTACAGACACAGAAAGTTTGAACGTAGTATATGCGGGGATTCTACATGCTCTCAAAAACAACACAAATATTAACACAATCAATAGCAGACAAACCACAACTCAATAACAGACTATACAGACAAAATATCTCAGAAATACTCACAAACAGAAAGTGAGAAGCAGCACAATTGCCACACGCGTTTCCTATCCGACCGCAAAACTTTATCTTAAAAAGCACAGTTGCTTAGGTAGTGTTTTTAAAACTAAGCGAAAAAAAAGCCTAACGCAACAGGGAAACACAGAGTTGTGGAAACGCGCTTAGTAAGTTGGATACGTGGATACGTCTATTAACGTCTCTTTAAACTGTTCCCCTACAAGAGGAGAATTTAGTTCATTCGAGACGGTTAGTAAGTTGGGTGTAGAGTAGAGCACAACAAGAATCAAATCTAACCGAATTTGTATTATAGCCGTAGATGGACGCCATAATTAATCAAAGACGGATTTATGTAAAACCACGCATACACTTAACAAAAAAACGTAGCCTATGTAAGCCACACAACCAACACAGTACCTATCCAATTTTCTAAATCCTCTTAATTGTAGAAATCCTTGAAAATGGTGAAATATATCACCGAAACGTCGGAGAGTTGAAGCAATACAACGTTTTTGCTGCAGTAAAAAGACTGAAAGAGCCGTTAAACCCTTCAATCAATCCCTATAACACACCTGTCGCAAGCTCTCAAACTTTCATTTTATTTATTTTAAACCGACTCTCTGAACAAGTCCCAATGTTCACAATCATCCGCAATATAAAATAGAGTGAACTACTTTAAAGTGCAGACTACAAGCAAATTAAAGTCAATGAAAACATGTTGCCAAAATCGAACCCTTACTGTACCTATTTTCGTTAAATAAATAGGTAGAAACGAAACCAAAAATAATTCATTCGTTCAGGTACATTCTTCATTTGGTACACTTTTTGTAGGTACAAACTATCCTTTTTCCTGACTACTAATCCTTGTCTGACGAACGAACAATCACCATTCACTAATAAAAACTCCAACAGCTATCGTCAAGTGACAGTGGCGCTCGTCATCATTCAAACACCATGTTTCCTGCTCCCCAGAGTGGCGATTTGCCAATGGCCGACCGGAAGCTACAGTCCAAGATGAAAGCAGTACTTCAGAACCTGGAAGCGCTACGCACCGAACATCAGACAATGCGCCTCAACTTCTCCGCAGGAATCATATCCGATCCGGATAAGGAGGAAATCGTCAACAGGAACTTTCAAAACATCGACCTTGGTATCGGTGAAGTCCGGTTGATTATCGCCTTGATGTCCCATCTGCAGAACATCGATGTCGAAAGACAAAAACTGCGATTGCAAGTTAAACGACTCTGCCAGGAAAACACCTGGCTGCGGGACGAAGTGCAAACCAGTCAAAAATTCCTGCTGAAGTCGGAGTTGCTGGTGGTACAGCTTGAAGAGGAGAAGAAACAGCTGGAGTTTGCGGCATCGGTGAAAAAGTACGACGACTTTCTGGAAGGCGAAGACATCCGCGAGAAACTAAACGGTGATCCCACGCTGGAGTTGTTTCCGGAAGACGAACCGTCGGATCGGCGCCTGAGTAAGTTGTCGCCAACATCATCTATTAATTTCGGAGACTATGAAGTATCCGCTCGGCTCAGAACTATACACAACCTGGCGATCCACTATGCTTCGCAAGGAAAGTACGAAGTTGCTGTACCCCTTTGTAAACAAGCATTGGAGGATTTGGAACGAGAGCATGGCCATGAACACCCAGACGTAGCAACAATGCTGAATATTTTGGCACTGGTTTACCGGGATCAGGGTAACTACAAAGAAGCTACCAGACTGATGAGCGAGGCATTGGAAATACGGGTGCGTTGCTTGGGCGAATGCCACCCATCGGTGGCAGCGACTTTGAACAATCTAGCCGTACTGTATGGGAAAAATGGACGATACAAGGATGCCGAACCGCTGTGCAAACGGGCTCTGGCGATTCGGGAGAATGTTCTAGGTGGAGACCATCCCGATGTGGCAAAGCAGCTGAATAACCTTGCCTTACTCTGTCAGAACCAGGGCAAGCACGGTGAAGTGGAGGTCTACAGCCGGAAAGCATTGGACATTTTCGAGATGCAACTTGGCGTAGATGATCCGAACGTGACAAAAACAAAGTGCAATTTGGCTGCGTGCTGTTTGAAGCTCCGAAAGTACAAGGAAGCGGAAGAGCTATTGAAGGAAGTGCTGTTAAAAGCTCACGATAAGGAATTTGCTGAAGCGCACGACGGAGAGCAAAATGGAGAGACGGTGGATAATGCAACCTACGGGAAAACTGGCGCCTGGCACGAAACTGCTCCCGTGTATTCACCCACGGTTAAGACTGTAGTGAAACATCTAGCAACGCTCTGCCACAAGCAGGGAAAATTTGAAGCTGCTGATCGGTTAAAACATGACACTTTTCGCAGTAAAAATGAAATTCTGGATGTGTTGGGTCAGGCGTGATGTAATTTCGTGAATGAGTTTTGTCTGTTTTATCTAGATTTTGAATAAATTTCAATGCACAAAAAACACACTTCTTCTTCATTCCTTTATTTAACGTTGGTCTCTGTTCCGCAATCTAGTGCTAATCACCGACGGTCATCCATTGCCATCCATTGATGGCAATCAAATGTGCAGGAAGGCAGCTTCCACACCTGAGTAGGATATCGCACCCATTCAACACACATGGGCCGGGACCAACGGCTGTATTTCCCTTCCATAGGAAGACGTGACCAGAGATTTTAATGCCTCAGAAAAATTCCACCGGCGCCGGCCAGAAAACACACTTCAAAATTTATGTTTGCATCGGAAAATGATGGGATCAATGGGCTGGTAGCGATCAATACTGTCAAAAATATTGATTTTAGTGACCATGTTAAAAAAAATAAGTGGCCAAATAGTGACTTATAGCTGCAAAAAAAAAAACAGTGAATAAAAAGTGACCTACGAGAAGAAGAGTAGTCGTTCTGATGACCCACTAAATAAATGTTTGATGTTTTAGCAGGCCCGTAGCCAGCATTTGGTTTCGGGGGAGCTAATTTTATGACATAAAAACTTCAATGATTTATAAAATGTGCGCCTAACTGGACATCGATTGATACACTGTTTTTTTTTTTACCTTAACCAAAATCGTTCATAATCATGTGTCATCATTTTTTTTTTTTTTTTTTGTTAATTCGTTTTAATCTTTGATCAGAATTTTTAATGGAACCATCAGAATGTAAAATAATAATTTTTCAAACTCTTTAATACGCAGTTATGAGAAAAGTTAAACAAATGTATGAAATTCAAGAAAATATTTATAGTTTTAATTGTTTTCTGTTGGCAATGATGATCAATATTTGCATTCTGTTAAGAAAGACAAAAATTTGTTACATATTTTTTAAAACATAATTATTTTAAGATTTCAATGGTGTTGAATCGTAAAATCACTGACACCGGATTCTAATTCATTTAAATTTATGAAGGCGGTAAATAACAAACATCCCTCGATGCAGTGGTAGCAATGTGATCCACACGAAACACGAACAGCGAATATTGTTGCCTTCATCATTCTGTATGTTTTTAAGTTTTTGTTTTAACATCACTGTATTTTTGTTTTGTTTTTGAATTGATCGTTATTCTGTGATATTTTGTATTGTTCCAGTTAGCTATATAAGTGCAAATATTTAATGCAATTAGATTAAGTTTGAATTTGACTTCCGATCAGGGTGCTGCCTGAAAGAGGTAATAAATAGTGAATAAGAAATGTATTCTTTTACTTTATTTGAATCAGTTGCCGATCTCCAAACTGCTGTCCAAAAATCTGAGCAACAAATTAAACACAACGTAGAGCCATATCCCGGACATTATACCTGGTTATTACAAAAGTAATCTTCTAGCTTTACTCTAAGCAGTTAATTGATATTATAGCCAAGCCCGAAAGTCGCTGGTTTCCCATTAGTTTTAATTTGTTTCAGTGTGGAGAAAGATCTTTCCACACTGGCTGTAGTGACCGGTAGTGTCAACAAAATCTTCAACAAAACATTGATTGTTGGAAAATACGGCACCAGAGCTCGTATTCCACCTTTACCTGCAACCAGCCAGTGATGCAAAATATCTTGACACTCACGTGACACTCGTCTTCGCATCAACCGACTATCGCTGACAGATCGTTTTGTCACGCTCTGAGAGTTAGAGCTATGGCAAACAACAATCACCAGTAATGGTCGCTGCTCACAAGCAAAACGTTACACTCGCTGCTGATTATGAAAAGCACAACAGTACGATGATGAGAAAAAGCGAAGCGACAGAAGAAAATGAAAACAATGCCTACGCATTCCAAGTTCGTCTCGGCAGGTGCGACTGTGTGAGTTACAAACAAAGCAGGCAACATGAAACGGAAGCTGTTGGGCTCACTCACCAACACACTCAAATAAGCAAGCAAAGCAGCAACTGCTTCAAAACCAGCACAGATAAGTGTCGTGATTGTCGGGAATGACCAGATCGGTGATGGATCACAACAGAAGACGACATTCACCAGTTGCTTTTTACTTCTTTCGTCAACTTGATGGATGGTCAGCTTCGACGAGCACATTGATAGGAATGTACAAAGCGTTACTACCATCAACTGTTTGGCGATCGTGATTGTGATAGGTCGCAACTCTGGCAACCACGCTGGTGAAATCACAGAGATAACAGTTAAGTTTGTCAAGTTGGAATGACTCTCCAATATCTGTAAAACCAGGCAACAATATTTGGAACACCGGAAGGATGTCATCATTTTTTGTGAAACGTCCCATCATGTTTTGGATCAATCCATCGAGTCATGGAATGAAAACTGCTCTTCGATAGTATTCCTCTGGTGTTTCTACTGATTGATTTGCACGTATTGTTTGTTTGCATGCACGTGGATGTAGTCGTAACTGCGCATTCGAAAACAGACATATGCAGCTTTGAGGTTGCATTAAAAATTTTGCAAATTTTGCTTCAGCGTCAGCTCGTCTCTCCTTAAAAACCTGTATTATACTGGTCGCATAATTAAGAGCCGATATGAGGTCCACATATTTAGATTGTAATCCTATTGAAAGTGGTTGTGTTGAAAGATCACATTGATGTAATAAATATATAAGATGTTTGTATCCTTTTATAAACAGAAAATGCATACTTTGCCTAAAGAATAAACTTCTAATATTTAAATAAGTTTTTAGACCGGTCCTGCTTTATACTGTGCCAATATGGTCTAGATCTTGCACTACCAGGAAAAAAGAACTTCAAAGGATTAAGAACAAAGTTCTGAAGATGATTTTGAAATTGCCTCCCTGGTACAGTACTACCGAAGTACATAGAATTTCGAATGTTGAGAGTTTAGAACAAATCTAGATAGAGCTGGAATTAGGGCGTAACAGCTTTTGTAAACAATGAATTCTCTCGTCGATTTCTAGCAACTCAAGGCACCCCTACACAAATCAACTTATCCATCGGGTAGGGGTAGTCTTCCCCTATTCGATGGTAATGATGATTTGCCAGGAAGAGCCATGTCTTTCGAAAAATCATCGAGAGAAGCCATTGTTTACAAAAGCTGTTATGCCCTAATTCCAGCTCTATCTAGAAATGTCCAATAAAATAATTAATAATTTTAGGGAAAAATCGTTGCAATCTTCAATTGCAACGATTAATAACCTTTATACATAGATAAGATATAGTTTTAGTTTTTAGTTTTGATGTGAATTGTTATACTGACATGCAGGTTTAGAAGACCTGTTTAAAATACTGAATTTCTAAGGCAGGAACAATGTAAAATCACTTAGATTTATATCATAAAAATTACAGCAGATAAGTTACTAGGTAGCTTGAGCACCTGGGTTAAAACGAAAAGAAATTTATTTTGAATTTTGAACAATTAAATAGTTAAAATCTAAATAGAAACAATGTGTGACTCTTTATTAAATCCAATGGTACATATGGAAAGGTAAATAAATTAAGAAGTCATTTGTTGTAGAAACATTCTATTTTCTATGAAATCCTGCTTGAAAAAGAGGGGTACAGTGCGGATTGTGTTTAGAAGGCTACAAATTGGGTCTACACCCTAGTTCCTACGGAAGTGAAACGAGGCTGATCTTCATAACAACTCGATGGTCCCATGATCTTTAACAGAATCGCTGCAAACATAAATTGTTCATGCACACTATATAGGTACAGCCCGAGTCTCATTTTAGAGGGGGCTGTAGGCCTGAAGCCTCGTCCATAAATTATTTTAATATTATATGAAAAAACCTTACCCAGGTAATGGATATCTATTACCTGTTCAGTACAGGTAACAGATATCTATTATCTTGGGTCAGATTTTTTTTTTCACATGATTATAATAATCTGGGGGGGGGGGCTTCAGCCCCATAGCCCATGGCTACGTGCCTGTGTTTTAGGCTTATTCAGTTAGTATCTCATAAACACTTGTTTGAGATATGAACGTTTAAAGCGAATGATTCATTCAAAATTTTATGACCAAACTCACGGTATTAGCCAGAGTGACTACTTCCTGGAAAAACCTGGAAAACCTGGAAAACTGACCCTACTTCAGAAGGTGACTGGGCTGAATACGTTTGAAACATCTAGGATTTGGTACCTTTCATCCATTCTACCACCACTAGGCGTACACATAGCGAAAATTACGTCAAGGATGGGCACCTTCCTGTGGAGTGGGATAGTCGCCCGGGTACCATTGATACAACTGGCGCGCAGCCGGGAGCATGGTGGACTGAAGCTGCAATTACCAGTGTTTAAGTGTAAGTCGCTCACCATCCACCGACATTTGCGGGAGATCGATTCCCTACCTTACTATAGATCCCTTCTTTTCCACGATAATCCCCGCCCAGCAATTTCTATAGATCTTCCCGACATCAAATTAATCCTATCAAATTTATCCCACATTCCCCTCCAAATCCAATATAACCCCTCCGCCGATCAAATCCATCAGTATTTTGTCCAGCAAATCGAACTGCCAAAGGTGGAACGCAACAGTCCGGAAAACGACTGGCCACGCACGTGGCGAAACATTGCTGCAAAGCAGCTCTCTTCAACGCAGCGATCGAAACTCTACCACCCTTATTCTGTATTTCGTTTCGAACGAAATTCTCATACAAAAAAATATTTTTTTGTATGAGAATTTCGTTCGAAACGAAATACAGAATAGGGGTTTACATGCTCGTGAATGGTAAAATCGAGCTCCGAAAACTACTGTTCGTAATGCAGCGAGTACCGGACGAAAACTGCACACATTGTAGCACTCAAACGGCTGAAACTCTTCTCCATAAATTTTGTGCTTGTACTCGTGTCGGCCCGGACGGTTCTACAGTAGAGGATAGCAGGCATTATGAATGGATGGAGACGAGTCTCTTTTGAAGACTTGGTGATACATGTCCTAGCAGGAATAGACAGAAGAAGGCGTGTGGAAGTGCTTAGAGTTTTTAATAAATACATTTGCT